ATAGCTCGGAATATTTTGTCAAAGCTTTCCCCCAAAGTCCGCAACCAGCACTCCTAATTAGCGACCGAATACGACCCCTCATCTCTCTTGCTGGGGCTCTCCGACGTTCGTCTGTCTGGACGAAGGACGTGCTCTGATCCAAAAACAGTTTCAGACAAAGCCCACAGTGGACAAGTCCCCGAGCACGTCCGAAACTACATATCCGCAATATCAACACTACTGGCCAGGAGCTCCATGGTAGGTTTCCAGCTCTCTTTTTCCCTGGTTCTTTCCTAACCTATAGCATTTCAGGTGGGATCAAACGGGCACATGGTCATTACCGTACACGTCAGTGGACGCCTACTCCCCATACTTATCCTCCCAGTTGGGATTGTTGTCGTCAGTACCGCCATCGACATCTACGTTGAATCAACGGCTTACGATCAGCAAACAACCGACGACTTCAGCAGGTGGTGGAAAATTTCCACGAGGCAATTGCGAATGTCCAAATTGCCAGGAGACTGAGCGAGTAGGTAAGGTTGAGTTGGAATTCTTTGAATGTTTCAGTAGGTCATACGAATAGATACAGGTCTCCGATGGTGAAACCGTCAATTTCAAAGATTGACGACGATAATTGTCCGTATAGGGGACGTTCCTACTTCTGGGAATAGATTAGTAGAGGGGCTAGAAGGCGCGCCCAACATCGCTAAAGCTGCTACGGTAGGTAAAGAACGGTTGCACGAATAAGAACCCCTTCGACGGACGGTTTCGCAATTAGGGCTCGCCATCAGGGGACGCTCTTTCCTTGGGGTAAATTTTGCAAAGTGCGATTCCGCCCCCCTCCTCAAAGCGTCTGGCTCTGCTTTCCCCATCTTATCTACAATCATCGTCATCTTTTCTGACTTCATATTCTTACCATTTTTTTACAATCCGCAAAAATGAGTTCATCTAGCTTTTTTTTCCTTATTTCCCTGGAATAACTGCAGTCGAGCCGTCGTGCGGGGCGGTGCGGGGGGATGAGGCGGAGAAAATTCTTCTGAAAGGCAAACACTACCCTTCCTGCTGGGATCCCCCGATGAGCCCTGTCTGGCAGCTGATCGAAGCCTGTCTGCTCATTTCCCGGCTCAGTAAAAAGAGGTCCTTATTTTGGAGGAATTTTTCGACGGGATAATGTGCCCTGATCTCCGTTTTCCCTCTGAGACTAGTTAGGCCCCAGCGCTGCTATCCTGGAGTTGTAGCGATTTCATGGACGAACGCGCCTCACCGAGGCGAGATGATCGTATCGGTCACCCGCGTTACATAACCGCAATACCTCTCCGTTGGCAGTATATCTTGCTCGATAATGGTTTCCAAGGTCTTGTTACGCAAATCATCACCACGGCACGCGATAGCCTCCCTGGTTTTTTGAATCCAGTTGGAGGGTGCAAAGCCAGACGCTACGCTCTACTTTTCGAAAAGGACAGTACATTAAAAAATGTGGGGGGTGGGGGG